TCTACTTGGTTAATCACGTTATTACACTGTGGAAATTTATTTTTTCATTCTTCATACGGGAAATTCACGGAAAATTGCTGCAGGTCTTTCTGGTACAATATTCTCTCATTAGCTTATATTTTTTTTGTAACTTTGCTATAAATACCATGCTTCAGATTTTCGTTGGCAATAGCTTACTATATATATATCTTTTCTATATACAGTATCCTTTTAAGACTTCGGCAATCACGGCCTTCCACAACTTCCCATATCTTGTAGCTCTTACCAACGATTGTCTTTTTACTACACTTCGGTTGTAGGATGAAAAGAATACATAATCCACAATGCAACGTAGAGGTTTTTGAACTCTATCAAGACAGGCAAGTGAGTACTGGGCAGCTCCATCCCAGTTATGGCAGCAATAATTTTATTTTGGCGGCTGGGAGTAACTTCCACTCAATCTTGCACCTTACCTTTCCCAGCAACCTGACTTGGAATCGAGAGAAAAGCCCATTTTGATATAATACTTGAGGTTTTTTTTTTACTACAATATTGCTGTTTATTAGATTATGCTCTGCAGAGAAATATCGTTGCCTCTGCTAAAGGTCGAGACACTATACCTTAGTTTTTCATTCTTTATACCAAAAAAATCGTGGGAAAATTGCTGCAGGTCATTCTAGTGCAATATTCTCTCATTAGCTTATAGATTGTTTTTTTTTTTTTGTAACTTTTTTATGCTTCAAATTTTCCTTGGAAATATCTTCCTATTTCTTTTCTATTCTATATACAATATCCTGTCAGGGCATGGACAGTCAGGGCCTTCCACGACTTCCCATATTTTGTAGCTCTTAGCAATGATTGTCTTTTTACTACACATCCCATTCCTGTTCTGCCATCCATTTACATGTGTTTGTTAGAAAATTTACTCACTGTTTCCCTCTGTCATTCTTATCTTTAGTACGCCTTGTGAGTGTCACATTCTACAACACCTCTTTCCTCCATTGTGTTCCCTGAAAATCTAATCCTTTTTTGTCTGGTTCTAAACAGAATTGTCCTTCTTGTTTCTATTTTCCTAATTTCCTCTTTTACTTATATATTGAGTCCATATTACTTTTCAATATATATCTGTACTTATTTACATTGTTCAGACAGTTGTCCTGACATTTATTGCCGTATTCACGACACTTCGGCCGTTGTACGCTCCAGCCTTCTTCAAGTGATTGGAATTTCGAATTGGTGTTTATTTCGTTCACCCAGGCGGAGTGCTGTAGTTCCACGTTTCTCTTCTGGATATCTCAGTTATCTCCCTTTAACTCAACCCTTCGAGTTTTTGTTCACCTCTGCCATAAATAGGTATTGAACTCATAACTCTTTTGCATAAAAACGTTGGTTACATCCAGTGACTTTAACCATAGATAGAATTGAAGTAGAAAGAAACCGGAAGTCAAATCATTACCAGGGAACAGGGGATAAACCTCTACTCCTGTTCAAAAGACTAAAAAGGAGTGTGGACCGTATGATAGACGAACCTGTCTACTCCTGTTTGAGGCGGAAGCGTCAGGTGTACACAGTTGAAGGAACCGGAAGCTCAATCCCAAACAGGAAACAACCGATAAACCTCTACTCCTGTTAAAAAAAAAAAAAAAAAAAAACGGGGAGGAGTCTAAATCGGAAGATGGTACTCAATAAGATGCCATTTAGTAGTAGAATAACAGCTACTATAGTAAAATCATTATATTTCACACCTACAGTATTGTTCTTTTCTAAAAAATATAATTGTTCCCGCAATCCAAAGCCCAAGAGCCACTCAAGGTAGAGGGTTAGTGCGTGAGCGTAAGAGATGACAAGAAGTGCAATATATGAGCTTCTCGACTTGACGGTCGAACTCTCTGCTTTTGAGCAGAAAGGAACCCGGACGAGGTTCCGCCGAAGGGCAGAATCTCGTTCGGGGTGAATGACCTACCCTATCTCGTTTTTACGAGTTATACGGGCATATTTTTGGCTGAGCCTACGGGCTCAGGAAACCCACGATAAAAACGACCTTGTGTCACATGCAACCCTCGTGGGGGGGGTGGCTAGATACCGTATCAGTGACATGGCCTTGTTTGAATCCAGTGACGTGACCCAAAGATGCCTACTGATGAGGTGAACAAAAAACTTGGGGCGTCGACTTAAAGGGAGGTAACAGATATTTAGACATCCGAAAGAGACATAGCACGTGGAACTAGAACAATCCCGGTGGACGAAAGAAAGGGTTCAGTTCGAAATTCCAAAACACCTGAAGAACGCCGGAGCCCACAACTGCCGAAACGTGAAGATGGCAACTAAGAGGAGAACAACAGTCTGAACAATGTAAATGGTGCATATAGTTACAATACCTCACCTCAGAAATATAGACAGATATTGAAGATATATATGTGAGATCAACTGAGATAGGTTTTTCTTACTAGTCATTGATTCATTCTTATTAGAGTCCTCATCTTTGCTACTTTTAACATTTCGACCAGCGTTGAGCTTGGCCAGTATTTATATGGATGGCCGCTTGTGAATACCAAGTGTTGTAAGCTTGGATGTGCAGATTGTACAATGGATAACGGCTAGGGATTTGGTAATCGTAGAAATGAGTTCTAATTCTCCAAATAATTATTATCTAAAAAAAAATCTTACATTTTAATAATATTTTCTGATTATCAATATCCTGCGAATGGTTGATAAACCATAGAAAACGAATCAACCAATCATTTTAACGAATCAACCAATCATTTTAACGAATCAACCAATCATTTTAACGAATCAAACAATCATTTTAACGAATCAAACAATCATTTTAACGAATCAAACAATCATTTTAACTAACATATTCTGTAGCTTTCCTTAAATAATATCCCTTCCGGTATGACATGAAATTTTCACCGGAAGTCTTTATTCCTTCTCGGGATTTAACCTATTGTCTTCATATTTCGTATTTTAACAAATTCAGACATTAGCAGAAAATCTAATATACGAGTCTTTGCTTATGCTTCGCATAACTTCGAACATGTATTTTCCCGGTTTTGGATAGCTCAGCAGTATCTAATCTAGAGCATTCCCTACGATTGCCATGATAATAGACTAAGGAATCTGTCAAACCGGCAACATCTTCTCACATCAGGATATTACTGGATAGATTCTGGTGGTCTGGTCCGATTATGCAGGCTTATATACTATACCATATGTTTCAAGAAATCGGACTCAAAAGGGAACAGTTCCAAAACAGAAACTAGATCTGGAATTATGATGAAAGTAGTGATGGCATCTGCTTTGAATTCAGCATAAAAATTCAGGATGTTGATACCAAACACTTCAAGTAACTCGATGTATAGATCAGCGATAACAGTTTTAGCATAGAAGATAAAAAATCTGAACATAGAATAGACTGAGCGAAGATAAGTTTTGCACAACAACGCAAATTGAAACAAATCCCCCCCAAATGACCCTGAAAACTGAAGATGTCCTTAAATAGCTTCATCAGATCGAGGCTTTGTTATGGGTGTCATGAATAGCGCCAAACACGTACAGAAATATCTAAACTGACAGCTTTATACAACCGCTTTCTAAGATTAACGGTTATGAATAGCTTTGAGCAAGTGAAGCTTATGCCTCTTGTTGCAAACGACTTTTCTTCGAATCCCACCGTATGGCGCTACATAATCACAAACAAAGAACTGTACAAAATAACAGAAACTGTACAACAGCAATTACTGAAATGGATAGTACATGCAATTCGAAGTGAAAATAATGACATAATCTAGATGTTAACATTTTGCAATATTTCAAAGAAAAGGTTAGGGTGGAAACTTTCATCAGTAATGGAAAAAGCGATAACAACAACTAGAGGTGAGATACATATTTTCATAAAAAATTGTTTTAAGAGAAAAAAATTATAAATTTCAACCGACAATGGAACAAACTGCTCGGTCAATTAATGCGAAATATTTCCTTATAAGGAAGCGGCTAATATTTCCATGATCATTACCATTGAGTTGAATAGATCTTTTTTTTCCGGTGTGCGGCTCTTCAGAACTGTCTAAACCAAATCCAGGCACCAACGATTTCCAGTGAAAGTGACTTAATGAGCAGTCAGGACAAGTGGCTTCTTCCACCGGCATATTGTTGTTCAAAGCCTGGTGTTCTCATCCCGTTCCGTAGTTTTCTTCAAATTTCTGGAGAAATTAAAAAAAAATAATTACTTAAAAATTTTAACTTGATACATTCGAGACAAGTTCAAAATTCGAAAATAAACACACACACATACAAACAAACAACTGGTTATTGATTATTAATGCTAAAATATCCTGACATTTTCTATCGTTCAATCAATTTTATCTAAAGTTATTAATGAACCGGATGGATATTTCGGATCTTGTTATCGCAATGATCCTTCCTCTTTCTTTTCGAGAGCTCTGGACCACGCAAGCGCACGTTCGTTTTCCGGTGACTTCGAAATGGTGGGCAAAATGTCATTGTATCACAGAACCGCGGCGCATAATTATAGCGACCACGTAAAAGAGAAGATTAAAAGAATTTATGAGTACAACGAGAGGAAAAGAAAATTCAATTTCAACCTTTAAGCGATAAAAGTAATAAAACAAACCTGTATAAAATAACTCCGTTTGGTAATAACGATTCTTTTAATAATGAAAAGGAAGCGGAACTAATGATAAATTCAAAGAAAAGACGGTTAACAATATGTTTCAAAATTACAGTTATTTATTACTATTATTATTACTATTATTATATCAATAATAATAATAATAATAATAATAATAATAATAATAATAAAACAGCTATTACAAATACTTTTATTAATAGTGTCGGTGTAAAATAACAAATGTTATTAATGTGCGGAACATTTAAAAAAAGGAAGCTGAAGATTAGTATGTGGAGGTGAAATATCGGATAAAGAAAAAGAGAAGAAAAACGAAGAAGAACAAGCGATCGAAGATGAAAAGAAAAGAAGTAAACGAACAGATTAATGAAGATTACGAAGAAGGAGAAAAGGAAGAAAAGAAAACAACGACATAGATGCGAAAGAATGAAGAGAAAAGAAACTGAGAGAAGACAGAGATGAAGATGAAGGAAAGACAAAGAAGCCACAAATCAGAAAAATATATCAAGTCGTTGACGACGATGACGTCGAAGAAGAAGGTGATAAAGAAGAGCATGAAAAACAAGAGGAAGGGGCGAAGAAAGCGAAATATAGACGAATAAAAGTAAAGAAAAAACTAGTAACATTTAAAAAAAATGAACGACTGAAAAAACAGCTTATTAAGAAAAAAAGAGAGAAAGAAGATTTAAAAATATACTCCTTCATTGCTACTAACGTTCATTTTACACCTCTTACTATCACTTCTTGCCCAACGCCTTCGACTTCTTTGTATAGTAATAAAAACTGGGACAGTAGCTTCTTGTCGTTCCAAGCACACTAATTAAATTCTAAGTGTCTTAAAATTGTGACCTTGTGCCGACCTTGTAAACAACTATATGGGGTTTGACTCTAGACTGAATGTCGGTGTAAGAGATTAACCAAAACCAGGATTTTGAATTATCTAGACTTTAACCAGATAAATGACTGACATAACACAACTTTCCAGACATTTAATTCCTACAAATCTGATCTTGTGCTATAATAAACCGAATAAACAAAAGCCAGAAGGACAAAAAATGGATGATGTGGAATTCTACGGGGAATTCAGAAGAAGAATGATGAAAATAACCGAGCAAATGATGGGAACATAATTGTAAAGAGGTCACTTGAAAAGATAAACAGAATTACTGCTGATAACAATCTAAAAGAAATACATGAGGGTGAATTACGTGATGGCGAGAATCGATAAAACAACAAAAATGCAAATGTCGTCTCTATATAGAATGAATTAATCCTTTAATAAAAATATAGCTAACTTGCTCTTGAAGAGAAAAGAAAAACAAAAATAAAATGACTGAATGGGACGAGTTGCTCATTGGTAATTTTGCAAGCTGTAAACATATTTTGAGAATTTAGAAATCAAAATGCGTGAGACTTCTACAAGTGTCAGTAGTCCATGGAGACCGGACATAATTTGGATGAGGTATGGGAAATAAAATAAGTTTATTAATGAAATAGTCCGTTTCAACGCTTCAAAACATAAGAGAAGGAGAAGATGGGAAAACTAGCAGAGTATATAGCATAACAAATGTAGAATCAGAATAATCAGAATATGGTCAGCATCAAAAAGAAAATAAAAATACTGTCAGATGGTGAAATTCACTGTTACAGTAATCTACAAATTTAAAAATGGAGAAACAGTTGACACAATCTTGTCAAGAAGCTGAAGAGGTTGTGGGACATTAAAGAGACTGTCGTACCAGTAATTATGGGAGCGTTGGGAACGGCTATGTAAACTAAATTAAATGACTGAATGAAGTAGGAGTTGGAATCAGATACTGTATGGCATTATTCAAATACTAAGAAAGGTCATAGAAAATTGACATTACTCAAATACTAAGAAAGGTCATAGAAAATTGACAAAAGTTATTGTCACTTGAGCTTCACTTTAAGCCACCACTTACTGGTGTGCACCCTCAGTGAATGAACGAATGAATAAATGAATAATAATTATAATAATAATAATAATAATAATAATAAGAAGAAGAAGAAGAAGAAGAAGAAGAATCCACTGAATATAAAACACGGTATGACAGAGTGGTCCAATATCTGCACTGGAAAATCTGCAATTTCTACGGGAAGGAAACTGAAAAAAATGGTCTGAACACTACCCAGACCCGGTTACGTAGATAGGACCTGTAACAATTTTATGGGACTACACAATACACACAGACAGAACAATTAAAGCTAATCGCCCTGATCGTAAAAAAAATATAAAAAAAAAAAATTGACTCCTTATTGATATGGCAGTCCTTCCAGATTGCAACGTATCTTTAAAGATCTTCAAAAAACTATCAAAATACAAGGACTTTGAAATAGAAATCTCAAAAATGTGGTACATAAGAACATCAACAATCCCTGTTGTAGTTGAAGCCCTCAGATTGGTTGGAAAAGATTCCAATAGACTCATTAAAGGGATTCTTGGTAGCTCATACCTTAAAGAAATACAAAAAAAAATGTTCTAACAAGTAAAGCTCACAGCTTACGAAGGGCTTTATCTCTGTGAAATATGTTTTCTTTAATTGCTCAGTGGAAAATGTCATGTGCCCTTTCTGACCTTAGACCTCTGGGTGGGACCCGAAAAGAAATGAGTACACACGAGAAACCAAAGAAAATAAAACAACAACAACAACAATAATAATAATAATAATAATAATAATAATAATAATAATAATAATAATAACAACAACTTGTGTGCAATTTAAAAAAATATTTTGAAGAAGACATAGTGTCGAAATATTACTGAACATTGTCAAACACTTTGTCTTTTCTTTTTCATTTCTTACATCGACCTCTTCTCAAAGTGCTTAAAATACTGTAAGAGTCATGTCAATCATTTTGTTTAACACTAATAGTAAAACTAGAAATAACTGTGACAATTTTACGGTTTACCTATTTTAATTTTCTGGTGAATCTTAATTCTTAAGTTACTGACTGAATAAGATCCTGGTGAGTCCCACGACAATAAAATATCCATAGAAATTCTCCGTTCGCATCGTTAATATTTGCGCTTAACAACGCTAACAAAATATTGCAATAAAAAATCATAAATATGAAAGCTGGTCGCTATTTTAAGAAGTAAGTGGGTACAAATGAAAAGATTTGAAATTGACAACGTTTTCCATTTCATTGAAACAAATGTTAAACACTTCTAGCTTTCCTTCTTTCTTTCTTTCTTTTTCTCACTGATACCAAATTGCATCCCTGATGTTTTCTTTTCCGTCATTCCAAGCGATCAAAACGGTTTAGTACATAATTTTTGAGCTATTGGCAGGACGTAACAGTCGTGCCAACTAACTAAGGAACTGACTAACTAGCAAAAGAACGGACAAGTAAAATTCTATAATAATAATAATAATAATAATAATAATAATAATAATAATAATAATAATAATGAAACTAATAGGGATATTCAGAGAAATCAACAGAAATACTTTTGAAAAATCATGATGATAGTCCATGTCTTCTGATTGTAGCCCCATCCGACAAAACCACACATTTGAAAACGTTTGCGAGACTAAGTAAATAGGGGGAACTCAAGATACAAATCAGCAGAATATGGCTTTACAAGACAGCAGCATTGCCTGTTGTTATTATGACTATGGCAATGATATCAATAGAAGCAAATATGTGGATCATATGTCGCTGTCAAATACATGAATTCCAAAAATTAATCATACCCTGGGTTACTTTGCACATCTTGCCTAGATTACTCTCCATCGCGTGACCACAGTTATAGATCTTTTTTCTCTTTGGTTTGCATCTTTTGATACACCAATTTATCTGGTTGAGATTTGGGGGCAACTAGTGCGAAACTAATCAAAGATAAAACATAATAATAATAATAATAATAATAATAATCAAAGAAAATAATACATATGACACTAATTCTATTTATTGCTTCTATAATTACAATATGTTTTCTGAATAATAAGAGAATAAAAGCTCCAGCTACAATAGTGACAATATTAATGCTATTAAATTAATCATTAATTAATGCTAATTCGTGTTATTATTGGTATTAATGCCAATCTAATTGAATTGCTTTCATCCCAAATGTTACGTGAATCCCAGGTTACCGCTAATTATTTTAATACAAAATAAAGAAGAAGAAGAAGAAGAAATAGAAGAAGAAGAAATAGAAGAAGAAATAGAAGAAGAAGAAGAAGAAGAAGAAGAAGAAGAAGAAGAAGAAGAAAGAGCAACATTGGAAAGTGAAGAAACTCATTTTACAGAAAAAGCTTCAGTAGAACAATTAATGCATAAAAACACGATAACATTTAGTTGTGTAGATAAATTGTTCAAATAGACAATGGCAGTCGTAGTGATTACTTATTCTTGCCCGTTTCTCTGAGTTCCAGGTTCTTGATTTGTTCCTTGATACAATCATTTACCAAATCCCGAGAACTTAGTTAAATTATTTTTTCTTGGGAAGTTATTGAAAATATTTTCCCAGGTATATGTGCAGTACTCTTTAACAAAATCTTTTATCTTACAGATAAATATGGCTTTCCTGACATCATAATGTTTTCTTCAGTTTGCTTCTTCATCATTCCTACTTCTCTGACTACTATAGGAATATGGTTGTGTTGAAATGTCATATTCGTGTAGTTTCCATTTCCAGATCCTAATTAGAGTTAATTAATTTCTATCGTGGAAATGTTTTTACACAAATGAATAATCATGTCGATAATATAAACTTTATATTATAGTATTTTATGAAAATATCTAGTGTGTTAGGTTTTACAGTGAGGCCGGTGTAAAAATCTAGTAAAGTCCTAGAGTAAAACAACATCACCTACTAGAACGAGTTGGTGGCTTTGACTCACAGTAATCATTTTTTCCTGTGTGGGCTGTGAAATAATGTATTTTCTTTTAATAAATATATTACTATAGCCTATGTCTATTTTATAATTAATGTTATTTTGATTTGAATTACTTTAATTTATATTATTTTTATTATTGTTATTATTATTATTATTATTATTAATGATAAACAAAATGATTGACGTAACTCTTTCAATACATTTCAACACTTAGAGAAGAGCGCGATTTAACAAAAATATTCAAGATCCACTGACCTTCTGGCCCTTAAAATGCATGAGAATAGTTACATATGAAAACAATTAACGATTTATAGCAAACAATTATATTAATACCTCTTAGCAATTAATCAACTCACGAACGGCCAATTTCAATATGAGCATGGTCGCCATCCTGTTATGTTTCAGTTGTATTTTCATTCACACTCGCGGTGTTTCACTCGTTTTGACGCACTGATTACTAGTAAGGCCGTTTTTCTCAAGACAAGCGACGTTTGTACAAAGGCTAGTAATTTTTGTATATTTGTATTCCTGTATGCAATTATTTAAACATAACTAGAAGAAGACAGACATACAGTCGGAATATTGTGGAACGTTGTTAAATATTGCGGATTTTTTTTTTTCTTAAATCACGCTCTTTTGAAGCTATAACATGATTCAATAATTATTGTTACTGTCTTTCAAACGTTTATGTCTTTCTTCATGCGATGTCTGTTATTGCTTTTAAATAATTCAATTATAAGTTTTAGCTTCGGGTACATTAATTTCAAGTGTATTATTATTATTATTATTATTATTGACAAAGCGAATGGCAAAGTGATACCAGGTTAGAAATATATGAAGGTCAATATACCCATGTTAACAACCATTTTGATAACGGTATGCCAAGCACATGTATTACAGAGAAATGTGCACTATATAGTGACAAGTTTTGATAAAAGCAGCGGCTATCCTTACTGGTGGGGCCAAGCTAGAAATACCAACGAGTAACATAAGCCACTCCTAAGTATCTTCATGTTACTTTCAAGGTACCTTGCCTGCCTGATCCTACAAATATAAAAATAATCTTTTTGACACCAAACAATAATGTTTCACAGTACTCTTACCCATGGTTGTGAGACCTGGCCACTGCGCAGAGAGGATCTTCATAAGCTTGAGGTATTCGATCACTACTGCCTCCGCCGTATCCTGCGCATACGCCTCTCCGACTGGATCCCCAACTCGTCCATCCGCGCCAGATGCAACATTCTGGGCCTGGAAGAAACTCTGCTTAACAGGAGACTCCGACGGTTCGGCCACGTGCTGCGGCGGCCTGGTGATGAGTTCGTCCGTAAACTGGTGGCACCAAACGCACCCACTGGTTGGAGGAAGCGCCGAGGTAGTCAACTCAAGACGTGGCTCGCAACGGTCAAAGCAGATATGGAACTCATGTCCGGTCCTCGCGTTTTCGGGGTCCGACGCTGGAATCGCGAATGACTCGATCATGCCGTCGATTCTGCTGCTGATCGACGGGGGTGGATGGCCTTGACGGTTAATTCAATTGGAGCCGGCTCAACCCACCCCGGGTGAATGGCGTTACAAGACAGACAGAGAGATGAACAGAAAATGACATTATGAAAGTCCTCCTTGTCACAGGGGGAGTATATCCAACTGTCATAGTCAGACAACTGGGAAGTAACTCTTTAGTACTGATTGTGATATTTACTCTTGCCCATTTAAATGTTCCACAAGGCAAAAATGTAAATGTCAGCAACTCCAATCAATTAACATCAGAAGCCACAAGGGAATTTATATTTATTTTTAGCATTTCAAACACTAGCACTAGCTCCATTTTACAGTTGAAATGGCTTGACGTAACCATAACTTCTATGCTGTCAGCTTCTTCTCTAGTAATTATCGCTTGTGGAAATCTTTTCCAGCCTTTTGCTTCCTAGTCAAATTTGATCTTCAAAAATTTAAATGCAATGTCATTAGTTATCTTCTGTCTTCTTAATTCTTATGCATTTATTGTTCTCTCCCCTTAATAGAATTTTTATCTCATATCCTTTTACACTTCTTGCATTTTACTGGCTTTATGGCCTGGCTTAAGGTGAAATGACTAAAAACAATATTTACATATATAAGAGAAAAAAGATAAAAGGAATCTTTTACAAAATAATATATTCAATGCATTAGTTGCTCATCGTTATGAAGCTGAACACAATGGTACTTATTCTGATGTGCTTTTCTATTTTGGTATTTAGACTTTATGAATTTAAGCGCATTACTAGATAGACAGTTAGGTCCCATCATTTTACTAGTGAAATGATTATATGTAAGTTCTGTGCTATCAGATTTTTCTCTCGCATTTCTCGTTTGTGAAAATCTCTTTCGGTTTCTTGCTTCCCAGTCAACTTTAATCTTCAAAATCTAAATGGAATGTTAATATTTTTCTTTTATTTCTGTCTCAACTTAATAGTGTTTTTACACACATTCTCTCAACCTCAGTAATCACCTTGAGTCATAATGACATCATTGTTTTACTTCGTGATGAAATGATTAAAAATGATTGTAGTTGGAAATTGAATGACGTCTCCATATTCTAGCACACTCTATCCTTACTTTTATGATTCATTGCATTTTGATGCTTATATTTGTTTTGATATTAATTCTTCTTCATCTTCTTCTTCTTCTTCATTATTATTATTATTATTATTTATGTACCATGGTACTCTTGTGTACTGTGTTGCATTAATATATCATAGTACTGCTGGTTATCAGGGAATATATTGCCTGTTAAGTCACAAAACGTACTTGCGAGAGACATTACTTTTTGAAGTATCCTTGGTGTACGCATTAAGGAAAATTTTTGTAGGAATGTTAATGCAATCCCGGTAATAATTGGAGTATTCGGCTTAATCTCATTGAAGTTTCAAGAATATGTCGACCTACCTAGCGGGATTACATTAACATTTTCATCCGTCATTTTCCAAAATTCCGAAACCTCAACCATTGCTTTGTTTTTTTTTATTATTCTAATCAATAGTTATGGTCTCATTTATTATTTGGCATTCATTTACAGTTGTGTAGAAGACGATTATCTCTCGTCTTCAGTGTTCAATAACTCGATCTCTTTGAAAGTTATAGTCCCAAACTAAGTTTATCATGCATTCCCCTTCCATTACGATCAAAAGTACTTGCTCATACCATTTCTCGGACACGTTATTGTCTTACTTTTGCTCAAGAGCCAGTGCACCGTAAGACAAACACGATCATGTCTTTTGTAATTACCCGGTGCCTGCATTTGATAACCACTGTTTGAAATTGTGATATTCTCTTGTTTGCCTTCAGTAATGCCTATACATTCGTTTATTCTCTTTTATGATAAATTTGTACTATTTTACATAGTAAGTTTAAATGTGCTAGATGTTTCATAGCTTTATAAGCTCCCAGGGAATGTTCTTTAGTTATTCTGTGTGCTCTCTTTCTTTTGTCTTTCCTATAATCTTTTAGTCTTTCTTTTCTTTGTTCAGACTCATCAGATCCGGTTTTCTTTTATCTAATTATTTTTTTCCTTGAATGGAGTTGTCTGTCTGAGATTTAATGTTGTAGCAAGTTTCCTTAAATTTATATTCTTTCCTAAATACTATTGCCGTTGTTAACACTGTCATTGTCTGGCCAGTCACAACAATTCCTCGAATATTACTTTGCAGATAGTTTCCGGGATGATATCTAACTTGAACTCAAATCTTTCAGCCTGACTATTCCTTTAGTTCTCGAGCTAGATCTTTTTTTTATAAAATTTTTGTTCAGTTTCTGTTATCATCATCATCATCATCATCATCATCATCATCATCATCATCATCATCAACATTCCCATGTTTAGATCTGGTCGTAAGGTCGTTGCATATTCTGTGCATCTGACCACTTCATTCCATATATGTGGGTCGAAGGGCTGAGATGTCTTCATTCATGCATAGGGTAAATTGGACAAATAGAGATGGCACAGCCAATTATTCTCAAACCAGAGCCAATATACTCTTACTTGATTGCTCGCCTCGGTCGTTTTTCATTGGAGAAACTCTCCACACGGGTTTGTGACTTTCGTATTGGAATCCCTCTCCCACCCAGCAATGATGTGCAATCTGTCTGCATACATCGATATGGAGCCAAATGTACCCTATTGTGTCATTGACACTACAAGAAATCTCATGCGTACCTTGCTTGTAATCGTACTGAATGGCTAGCCACTCTGCTCACTAGTAAAACCATATGGCAGGTAGTACTAGCTAACATGGTACATGCAGCACTTGGTGAGGGACCTGACCAAAGCTTCAGCATGTGCTTTGATAAACAGCTACCCCCATGATTTGGCGCAGGCTCTTTCCATTATCAAAACAAGCAGCTCGTATTGAGAAGTCTGGTTCTGAAATCACAAAGGAATGTTCAAGTTTTTATTTTCTAGCTCAGCTTCAGGTTTCTGATCATAATCGGCAAAAATGATGTTGAATATATTTAATATCTTTTTATAAGCCTTTCACCCCAAGCAAGGCAGGAGTGTCACTACTACGCAACGGGCTACAGAGAATGAACGTAAGAGAAAAGGCTAGGGTATAGCGGGGATATAAGTAAGGATAAAACGAAGAACGGGGATCAAGGTGTCAGAAGATGTCGTTTGACATTACATTTGAATTTTTGCAGATTATAGCTAAAAGGGAAGTAAGTAAGAGGAAGGAAGTTCCACTATCAGAAAGTGCGAGAGAAGAAGCTGTTGGACTAGAAGAGGCGGTTAAATTTAACTGTTTCGACAGTAAAAAGTTGGACCCGAGATACCAACCTAGTAGCACGCTTAAATTTATTCAGTCGGGGCACCAGTGAAAATGGCTCGACAGAGCAGTAACCATAAAAATATTTGTAGAAAAGATAGAGGGAAGCCACGGTGAGAAAGTGACTGGAATCGAGATCCCAAAATCAGAACCGATCACATTGCATAGCCATCTCTGGATTTTGTCGAAAACATCAAGATGAACAGCAGGGGCACCAGACCATATATAGCAACAGTATTCCATGCATCGACCAGTAGTAGATTTGTGGATGTGAAGGCTGAACTCAGACGGGAAAAACCTTCTGGCGTTAAACAGAGAAACAACTTTCTTTGTGGTATTGCAGCTATTGATACAATGCAGTTGCTCCACGTCAGGCCAGTGAAAAATGCGTGACCAAGAAGGTGCAGTGAAGCGCTCTCGTGAATCTGAACATCAGCCATGCTGATAGGAAGCAAGGAACTTTCTTTATGGCGAGTAAATGAGAGTAGTTTTGTTCTGGACCCATTAAAATTTACAAGCAATTTCCTGTCCTATTCAACCACAAATTGCAGGTCCTTTTCCAGATCAACGACCAGGTTAAATTTGTCAGCAGTGCCGGATTTACTATTGAGACAGGAGTAAATGGTAGTGTCCTTTGCGTAGGGTCTTAGTTCTAGGGGGAAGATAAGGTGTGGGTACTCCGGATAAGTCGAATTAGATGAGAATTTCCGAGCAAAACATTCAGCCTCATCATTTTCCATTTTATTGAATAGAGGAGGTATTGAAGGATACTGTAGTTCAGCACACTCTTGCAAAGCCGCCATTAATCTTTAGAAACAAACTTGCGAGATTCAGTACATTGTTTCATTCTATCAGCAAACAGTAACTTTGCTTCATTGCGGAGAGGCTTTGCACTCATTACGAACAGAGACAAAGAGTCCTCTGTTTAGAAGAAGACATGTCGCTCTGGTATAGACGAAAGAAGTGATTCCTATGGGCTATAGTGGCAGAGAAGCAGTTGAGAACCAAGAAGATGAGCGCGATTTAACTTGATATTTTCTAGCTGAGATGAAGCATAAATGTCGGCTATAATCGAGGAGGAGGAGACCTCAGACGCACATTTTTGAACGGTATGATTAAAACCACATTTTTATGGACGTCGCGAGGGAAATCACGGAACGAGTCCCAGTTTGCGAGTTGATAACAGAAGGATATTCTGTTAGTAGGTGGTTCATGGCGGGAGGTAGAGTGGAAGGAGATATTAACAGGCACTACAGTGTGATCAGAGCTGCGACAAGAGCCAGGGATGGAAGTAAAACGGGGATCGAGAAGGGAAGTGTTACCTTCAGAGTTACTGTGGAAACGTGTAGGAAAAACAAACACTTGTGTGAGGTATTCAGTTATTGAGTGATTAAAAAAGGGTTTGCATGCCAGTGAGGTCAGTTACAGAGTGTTTAAGCCACTTGATATGGTTGGTGTTTAAAATCACTGAACACGAATATGTTTGCAAACGGATGTTGCGAGATAACTTTGTCTATATTATCGGAAATGCTATCGAGTACACAACATTCTTGAAGGAAGGGGAAAGGAAGAGAAAGAACAAATAGCTTATTGAATTGAGGACAGTTAGACGGAGACACATATACGAATGGTCTGGAGATTTCAAAGAGAGTTCTCTAGCCAGTGGAAGATGATCATGGACAAATGTTCAGGCTATGCATGTGGATTTGAGTGTTCTTTTTAAGGAGAGGAAGGTAGCCGGGAATAACGAAATAGCGAGGACAAAAAAAATTAAATGAAGAAAATGAGAAAGAGGAGGACGGCGAAGACGGGGAAAGGATAGAGAGAATAAAAGAAAGACCAGAAGAAGGATAAAAGAAGAAGATAAGAAGGGAAATAAAGAAGATGATGAAGTTAAGACGAAAAACACAGTGGGAGGCAACAAAGAAAAAGAAAGTGGGAGATAACGAAGAAGAAGAAAAGGAAATGGGAATATAACGAAGAAGAAAGAGAAAGTGTAAGAGAACGAAGAAAAAAAAAAGAAAAGGAAAACGTGCGAGACACCAAAAAAGAAGAAAGTCAAAGTAGGAGACAACGAAAAAGAAAGACAAAGTCGCAGATAACGAAGAAGAAGAAAGAGAAAGTATGAGACACCAAAGAAGAAGAACAAAGTGTGAAATAAAGAAGAAGAAGAAGAAGAAGAAGAAGAAGAAGAAGAAGGAGAAGAAGAAGAAGAAGGAGAAGGAGAAGAAGAAGAAGAACAACAACAAAGTGGAAGACAAGGAAGAAGATAGAGAAAGTGGGGGACAAAGAAGAAGAAAAAGAAAATGGGAGACAATGCGGAAAAAAGAAAGAGAAATTGGGAGACAGCGAAGAAGACGAAAGAGAAAGTAGGAGACAACGAAGATAAAGAAAGAGGAAGTGGGAATCATCAAAGAAGAAGACAGCGATGGAGAAGAAAGACAAAGAGGGAGACAACAATCAATTGGAGAAAGAAAGGCAAAGTGGGAAAGAACCGAAGAAAAAGAATGAAATAGAAAAAGAGTCAAATAGAACTAAAAAGATGTGCATTGCGAAAGAAAGAATGCTATTTTTATAAGAAAATAAAATAAAAAATAAAATGAAAACAAAATGTGAAGTAAAAAAATTGTTTTGTCGAAAAAAAAACAAACATTTTCCAACATATTGGAGCCAATTTATAAGACAAAAAAAAAAAAAACCAAAAAACAAAAAAGGCAAACTAGAAAATGACAAAACACCGGAAGTGTATGCGTTGTGACCCCATTCATCCGATTAAATCTAATTAAGACGTCAAGATTTTCAAACGAAGCGAGTCGAGGGAAAATCTTGAACAATATTGACGCGTTCGTTTCTCTTTCAGCGTCCACGCAGAAAGTAGCAAATACAAACTCACGTTTTCTTTCTATTTTTTTTTAATCCGTTCTTTGTACTTTTTGTTAAGAGTTAAACGAAAAGCAAAGATCAAGGAAAAGGGGGAAAATCCGATATAGAAAAAAAAGCCGGTGAGATTGGTTTGTTTATTTTTAATGAATGGACGACAAGAACGCAAAACAGTAGAAGAACAAACATAGAACATTGAATTGAAGTGACTTGCAAGCGATGGGCACAGATGAGAGAGATTCGTGAGATACGGTTTGACTTTAGAAAATCACTTAGTGAGGTGATTAACACGTCTACCTGTCCGTCCGTCTGTCTGTCTGTTTGCGCACATAGACAGACTCACCGCATCCATATAATCGATTTGATTTGTTTCCTTAACGGCATATCAAGTCCTTATGGATGACTTATTGCCGAAGTTTAATATTTTTGTGAGATTTGAAATAATATTTCTGAGGACTATACGGGGTGATATGTGTTTTTTATGTTATCTTTTTATCTAGTTTTCTTGAAGCTATATTTTGGAATGCAGTTTGATTTCTTTAAGAAATTGTAGGATATTATATGGATTAATATGAAAGAGTTCTTTCGTGTTAAGTTTTTTGGTTGGCTGGTTGGTTTTTGTTTAGTGGCATATCAAATTCTACGGCTTATTTAATGCCAAAATCTAAATATTTTGAACACGATGTTTTGGCTTTAACTAAATACAATTTAAACACAATTGTATGCCTTCAATGACAGATAAAATGTATTGTTGATTATTTTTCTATAAAATGTATTGTTGGTAATTCTATGAAATTGTATTCCTGACTACTGTGCCTGAAAATCGGATTGTTGGTAATTTTACTATAAATAGGTATTAGCATATTTTGTAAAGCTATTATAATTATCATATAATTCTGCTTTTTCCTTTATTAGTTACCGCGTAACTACCAGTATCTCATAAAAGTAGACTATACCGTTTTTAGCGAGAGGAAGAACGGAAAAACATATAAGAGACGCGGTTTGGTTTCAGCAAAAAATTAATTAATTCATTCGTTTTTCGGCTTATTAATCATTTTCAGGTTATTTAAAACAGAAAAATATTTTCGATTGCTATCCTCAATCTTTATGAGACACAGATCATCCAGAAAATGGAGCACTTTTTTAATATTTGGGCAGGAAGTGCCCGGTTCTCACTTTTCTGTCTCCACGGTGTGCAAAAGCGTCTTCGAATCTTTCCTGGAGAAGAATTATTTTCTATCTACTAACCTCTCTCTCACATCGTGCAATGTGACCATGGTAAGTACTCGGATTTCCTTCGTTCCTTGAGGACTAAACTTTACAGCTAGGACTCTTCAAGTCACTTACATTGTAACAACCCATACATATTCCCTTCTTATTCCATCGGTGAGAACAGCTTCCTGTGTGCCCTGTGGAACACTCCCTACAATTTTAACCTGTTCAAGTTCCGTTAACCGTATCATTCCCTCCTAGTTGTATAAACTAGCCCTTAACATAGCGACCTTCTTCGATGGGCCCCGGGTCTTGTACACGTTGAAACTTACGGCAAGAAAGAAAGAAAATTGTAAGAATTTATTAAAGATTATAAAGGGTTTAGTAATACTAAAGATTATAAAGGATTTAGTGATACTAAATACTACTTACTAATTAACCCATAGCTACGGGAGAAGAGGTGGATTCATGCTTTTCTCAAGGTTATTTGCTCGTAAGTGAATATAACAAACCCAACAAGAATTGACTCCCTGATTAAGAATTTCGAGCCATTATCCATTACACCCTAAAGCTGACAGTACCTGGCGTTCCAAAGCCGTCACCCATCTAGTTACTAACCAGGTTCGATGTTGCTTAACATCGGTGATTGTACAGAACCGGTGTTTTAACGTGATGCAGCCGTATGCCTAGCTTTCCGGGAACTTCTACGGCCAGTTACTTTCTCATTTAGAGATAGGTCATAGGTGAGAGGCTGCAAGTCTCCGATTATCTTGGGTTTTCGAAAGCACGACCATAAACCGTGGCTCATCTGAATCGATATTTGCTTCTGTTCTTAAATAATCTTGCCAGATCGATAATCTACTGGGTGTCATGCATGACGTCCAACTTATTCAGTTATGCCTAAAATTCCTACATACTACAAATTATGATTAAAAAATAGGCTCTGACACCTCCAAGCCGGGGAATGCGCGCAAGTGGAAAACTGAGACCTCACAAACAGTTGCTTTGAATAGAAGGCAGTCCTGTTAGGGGGAACGAAAGCCCTGATTTTAAACCTGCCTATCATATCCAAACACAGAAAACGATATGAAAGTAAATCCAGACAGAAAACCTCGAGTGAAGCTCCATAGGCGATAGTCTGTCGATATTGACAACTCTCCGGGAACTTCTACGGCCAAGCCGCCCGAAGATATAATGCCCTGTATTCATTTAGACCTTGTCGGTACGGAGAGAGGTAGGTCTTGTAGTCTGGGCAGCGCACAGTCTCCATATATTTGCGCCCTGGAGAGGTCACTCCAATTTCACTACCTAAGGCCTGAAACTGAGACCTGCCTTTATCTCGCAAGATAAACTGATATCTACTCTGATAAAAATGGCTTCAAGCGAATGAATTCCCTTGGTCTTAAATTAGTCAGGTCTGCGGTTTCAGAATCACAAAGAACCTTATCAAAAATCAACAGCAAAAATCAGTAACACATGTTGCGCGAAGGAATATACTGATATAATCAAAATGATGATTTTCTACATTAAACAAAAAACATGGAAGAAAACTTCCATAAATACCAGAAAGAGCGATAACTGGACCTGAGAATATTGAAACATGAAAAAAAAAAATTGTTTTGTGAACGATTTAATAAATTTAAACTGGCAATAACGCAAGCTTCGGTAAGTGAATGCCGAATGTTTCTGTATATGGAAAAATGAGCTCTCATAAATGATCTAGAAATGTTTTTCAGTTGATAGATATTGTTTCAAATCAATTTGCCTCACGCAAGGCAGTAATGACACCAAGACCTAGTTACCTACTGTGAAAGAATAAGAAAAAGAGAAATATTATTAATAAGCGAGAACAGTAAAAGTAGACTAATCCTGAAGACAGTAGGTAAAGATTAACATCACATTTAAATTTTTGAAGGTAACAGTTGGTTAAAAAGCAGAAAGATAGTATCAAAAAGAGTACTAGTGTTGATATCATGGGATTCCAAAGACTGGTCACTTAAAATAAGTTTCCTGGACCTCACTTGAGAGAAAGGACTTCTTTATATAATAGTTTATTCTGAGTTCATTTCACTCCCTCTTCTCCGAATTCAAAACATCCGATTGCGTTATATTCAGCCTAGCAAACATTGACAGTAATCTTTAGAATTTACCGCTAATTCCTTACAAACCTTGCAAAAAAAAAAAAGAAAAGAAAAAACAATAAAAAAAAACAACAAAAAACCCCCCAAAAAACCCCAAAAAACAGTCAAAATGGCCAAGTAAACGTCGATGAACCTCTAACACGGCTCGATGGCAAATGTCCGTCTGTTCGTAAAAAGAAAGCCATCCGTTTTTTCGATTGCAACTTATTTGTATTGGGAGTTAGGCTTGAAATAGGAAATCCTGGATAATATTGTCCCTGGGGCTAAATCTTCCTTATCAATATGACGCGCTTCGAACCGTTTTGCATACAACCCTTCCTCTCGCCGCATCTTAATTTGATCGTAACGTTCTACCTCCTCAGGTAAACACAACCCCTCAGGGTGTCTTGGGACGTATGGGAGCAGGATGACGAGTTGGCCTTTTCGTGCTGTTTAAAGAAGTAGTCGAAAAGGAAATAATAAAAAATAGATAAAAAAGGCGTTTCCATCACGAATTCCGTGGGAAGCCCGGATCGATCTTTTTTCGATTGGTTTTTCAAACAAAACAGACTCTACGCACGGAAGTCGAACAATACTATCGATTTTTTTTCTGCTTCAGAATTTCGTGATTTTGCTTTTCAGTGGCTAAGCAAACTTGGATACTAGGAAATCTCCATACAGTTCCACTATTCAGTATTTACCTTTCCACCTAAAAATTGTGGTACAATGCGATTCAAAATATTGGGGTGTATCAAAAGTATTTTCGCTTTTTTTTACTTGCCTTTACTCTATAGCCTACCTATGAAACAGCTATATTGCTATTATTATTACCAATTGAGTGTAGAATGAGAACAAGGGGATGCAATCTAGCCATTGAAAAGATAGAAAGAAACCACATCATGGCGGTTGGAAAGTGGCTGAAGTCGAGATGCCAGGTCAGGACTAATAACATTGCAGACCCTTTAGATTTTTTTTGAGAATTTACAGAAATAAAAACAGGAGTTTATTTTTAGAGATGGCAGCAATATTCATTGCACGGACGAATAGTAAGATTTATAAATTTGTAAGATGGATGCTGACGTGGAAATTTCTCTGGCCTGACACCGTGAACAAACTTTCCTAGTAGCAGAGCTAGCAATTGATGTAATATAATCAATTCCCGTCATGTCAGTGAAAAACGTGGGACCAAGATGGTTCAATTAGTTGCTTTCCTGGATGTTAGCATCAGCATGTTTTGTTTTGGAGATGTTAAAATTTGAGCCATTCCTTGCCCGAGTTAACAACTGATTGGAGCTCATTTTAGAAAGCAGCTGCCAGTTTTACTATGCTGGACGTATCAGACTTGCTATTCAGACAGGAGTAAATAAATGTGTCATCATAAATATCTAGTTGTGAACTGATAAGCAGGCACGGTGGAGTAATGGATAGCGGCTTGGATTGAAGAATCTGAGATCCGAGTTCGAATTCCAGTTAAATCCGTTACATTCACTTTCGTGCTAATACCCTTGGGAAAGGTGTGAATCACACCTTTCTCAAGGGTATTAGCACGATTAGCTGCATATTTACCCATAGCTGGAGGGAGAAGAAGCTAATCTTCTTCTCCCTCCAGCTATGGATAAATAGCAGGAGAGACTGGATTCTATAGCCTTGGATGGCAACTGGTCTAGGAGAAGGAAAACTCTGAATTCAAAACCTGCGGAGGGTCGTTTGGGGACCTTGTGGCACGTAGTCTCTGTAATCGGCCTTTCCAAATGTGTGGATGGTCCTGCACGAAACCTTCACCACTATAATCAAATCTCATGTGCTATACATGCGGCTTTGGGGACCGCTTGTGAATACCAAATTCCCATGAAACTCCAATATTGGATCCGGCTCAACCTATCCCGGGTGAATGCCGTTATAAGACAAAAGGCAAGAAGAACTGATAACGTCGGGATAGTCGTTAATGCAGATAAGAAACACCGTAAGTTACGGTATTAATGAATCAATTATTGATTGTAAATTATGTAAATTATTCACATCCGGATATTGTCTGGGGCGTGTATATTGACCCTTGTATAAAAACTTTTGACTCGTTCTTCCTCCATAGTAACCATCACACTGACATCTAAAATGGTAAATTAAGGAATTATTATGGCAGGTATGCAGAAGCACGGATCGGTTTCAGCCTAGGTCGAGCACCAAAAACGATATATGTCGGAAAAATAACAGCTTCTTACAGCAACTGAAAATCTGTTTTGGAGAACTCGCACTAAAAACCTTCCTAATAAATTAAATTTCAGAATCTAATTTCGTTACGAGTTTATTTTCTGCTGTTTAGAACAGAAGGAATCCCAACGGGGATGTCAACGCGTAAAGTTGGTATCCGGTACACTGATGGTAGAAATTCTATATCTGATTTATGTACCATACCATCAACAAAAGAAGCCGCACCATTACTTTTGTTTTCACAGGAAAAATACAACACTGGCTGTAATGTATTTAAGTGCTTGATGGAAAGCGACAGCTTTAACGTCCATTTTCAAAAACACAAAAGCCACCGTCAAAATATACAACATAATACCTTAGTCCGTCAATACGTACAAGGAAATATTGCTCGATAAATTAACAAATATATTTAATATTGTAGACCCTAGAGGACTTCCCATCGTTATCCTGGGAACACCAGAAATTAAGAGGTGGTTCCACTTTCCTCAAAACCACCTGATCAAAGGCCTTGCTGTCGGATGTAGTTTATCGTCTTACCGACGACGAGAATGCAGTTTATCCTCATACAAAGGACGTCATTTCAATTGGTCAGTATGTATTGCTGTGGTTGTTATAAGGCTTCGCCTTTTTTTTTTCAAATTTTATAACAACCACAACAATATTTGCAACCAAACCACTGCCAATAGGAAAATTTAGCAATTATGATATTTCCGGATCCAAAGAACCTTTTGAACCAGAAATCCGAAGTCTGGAGTCCTTGCTTGCATATTAGGAAATTACTCTTAAGCACATATGAGACTGGTTAAAAAAAGAAATGTACATTTCAATTACCCCATACATTTATAATACCCTTGTTTCTTCTTCTTCTTCTTCTTCTTCTTCTTCTTCTTCTTCTTCTTCTTCTTCACATGCTTCACCTCCCTTTTTAATAAAGTCAACATCGTGCGCTTATTTGTTTATTTTAAAAAAATAATATAATGTTCATTAGTTTAAAAAAAAAATAAGGCGTTAGGAGATCATTTGATAAAAATCTCCTGAGGATACCGTAAGGTTGAAACTAAACTAGCGGATTCAACTGACCTCCTGATTTTTAATGTAGTGAATATTACTGTTGATGATCCAAGACTCTTTTTTAAACTAAAAAACCTAAAAATAAATTAATCCTAAAATTCACTTTCAACCCTGCCGTGCGCCAATGGCTTAGGCGTAAAATCTCCGACGGATACCAAATCAGTCGTGTTTCGATCACGGCTAGAGACAATAGGGTGTCTTGCCACACTGATGAGCTGCGAAACAGTCTGTCTGTCGATGATTATATGAATAACGCAATTCAAAACGAATATTTTTTTAATTCATATTGTGCTCTTGAAGTTACTCCCTCCTTTCTCTCTCTCTCACTCTCTCTCTCTCTCTCTCTCTCTCTCTCTCTCTCTCTCTCTCTCTATATATATATATATATATATATATATATATATATATATATATATATGTGTGTGTGTGTGTGTGTGTTAGTAGTAATCTTTATAAGTATGAGAAATTATGCTCGTTCGGTAAACCTTCAGTGTTTTGATTTGCAAATAATCAAACCAATACCAAAGGGGAAAAAAGGTATAAAATAAAGAAAGAACCAAGAACATGTACGTTAGCCGAAAATAATCGTCTAGCATGCAAGTCGAAAGCCCAAAGATAACAACCCCGATACGAGTTGGTAAGATAATTAAAAGTGATCGATACAGTAAGTAGAGCAGACCTAGTTAAACCTAGAGAGCCAGACAAACCTACCAAGGTTTCATCTAAGCGGATCGTCAGGGAAGGCTGGCTTCCTTGACGATCCGCTTAGGTGAAACCTTGGTAGGTTTGTCTGGCTCTCTAGGTTTAACTATATATATCTATATATCTATACCTATCTATCTATCTATCTATCTATCTATCTATCTATATATATATATATATATATGTGTGTGTGTGTGTGTGTGTGTGTGTGAGAGAGAGAGAGTGATGACAAAAAGAAAATGTTTCCTCACCGATGCGTTTCGTTCTGTGATAGACTTCAGAAAGGCAAATTTCAGAAGACGAAACGTGTTTGTCAAAAAATGCTTTCCCTTTTTCTTTATTCATATATTCTTTTTACAGATATATTTTATTTCTATCTGAATTTTACACACACACACACACACACACACACACACACACACACAATTATATATATATATATGTATGTATATATATACATTTACAACGTGACTAATTTTTGCCTTCTAATTCTCAAAGATTCCATGAAAAGTATATGAAGACAATAAAAACTTGGTAGAGACTGATATTTTTTCCTAAACGAAAAACCAATACAGAAATTATAAGAATTTCTATAAAAAGAAGAAAGAAAGAAAGAAGCCAAAAAATACAAAAAAATACCCCAAAAAAACAGGAACTAAAAAAATAAAAAAAGACAGTCGGCGTGCGTCTCAGTTTCCTTGCTAATTTGTTAACTTGAACCAACTGCAAAAATAAAGAAGAATTTTGTCAGATATCAAAGCCAAAGTAATTAAGAAAAAAATCGCTGATTGAACACTTGAGTTAATTAAATATTTAGACATTTTCTTTTCATGCCAAATAATTTTCTTCGACTGTTGTTAGCTTTTCTTTCTTTTACTCGTCGTCTCATACAACGCTGTTTGTTTTCCAAGTCAATTGCCTATTTTCTTTATTGCGGCGTCAATATAGCAGAAAGTCAAATACTAACAACTACTTTCGGTCAGTTTGTAACTGGACTACTTCTCACCTGTCTTTTCTACATAGTAGCCCATTAAATACTCACCCTGTCTTGCGGTCACATTTTAACTGAATTACATTTCTGGTGCTAGTTTTCTAATACTGTCTTCTTCTTTGTGTCCGTTCAGGACGTTAACAATCAGGGTACTTCACAAATTCATGTCCTTTGTAGATCTTAATAAATTTTGTCTCTTTTTTTATCTCTCCTAAACCTTATTCCGCCATTCATTTATTCAAACTCGTTCTTCTTTCTGCATATCCCTTCAGGACGTTGGCGATCATGGCTCTCCACAATTTCCTGTCCTTTGTAGCTCTTAGTAAAGTCTGTCTCTGTTATCTCTCCTAACCCATATTCTGTTGTGTGTATGTGTGTGTGACGTTCAAGTTCTTTATTTAGGCTATTCGCACTATCCGTCAATCCTTCGTTAGGTAGAGTATTTGCTGTATCCTTTCAATTTGCCCTGTGAGTGTCAAAATTTCCAAGGCTTCTTTTCTCATTATGTGCCCTAGAAATTTTAAACGTCTCTTTCTGATTCTAAGTATAAGTCTCCTTATTGTTTCCATTTTCTTTAAAACGTCGTCGTTGATCACATGCTTATTCCATGCTATTCTCAATACCCTCTTGTAGATCCATATTTCTGTTGCTGCAAGGTAATTATTCATATGCGACGATATTGTCCAGCGTTTACTTTCGTATAGGAGGACCGCTATGACATAACAGTTTAGTACTGCTTTCTTTTATTTCTAATGAAATTTCCCTGATTCTTTATACTTAGATTTGTAATGCATCTTTTGTTATCCCAAAGCAACTTCATAATTCGGTGTCGCATTTTCCATCCTCTGTTAAAACTTCCTAGATTTGATTTTGGCATCCCTAATTTGTAATTTGCGTGCTTGACTGACCCTTTTGCTGACTACCATACATTCTGTCTTCTTACAATTTAATCCTTTCTTCTCGTTTGCTTTTACGATTACGTACTGCTTTCTGTCAGACTATTTCATTTTTTGTGTCCTCTATGAACACTGTATCATCTGTATATCTAATGATAAATTCAGCAAATACACAAAAATAGAAAGGAGCATAAGACAAGGTTATGTCTTCTCGCCGGACTTATTCAACCTTAAGCAAATGCTCACTATATGCTGTTTTAATTTGCAAATATCATAAATAATAGAACAATAAATTGTTTATCCAATCTTTGGTGAATTAAAGTTGTTTAAGTCCGACACACATACGCACAAAAGATTCAGGACAATTTTTTAATATATATTTATTCAAATAGTGTCAAAAATAATTTAAATTTCTTCATAAATTAACAGCGCCTGTTTTAAATACGAGGTCCGATAAAACAGTACTGTTGCTATGGTAACGGAGCTAAAGTACACACCGCTAGGAAGGAAAGTGTGTAGAGTGTGGTCGCGCTTGAAAGCAGCAATATTTCAAGACATTGAGGAAACCCAAGAGAATGCAACGAGGCAGCTGCTCGCTAACCTCAAGAAGAACCACCAGTAATACTTCCATCAATGGAAACAACGCTGGCTACAGTGGGTGTCTTCAGAAGCGGACTATTTCGAAGGAGATTAAATGCCGAATTGATGAATGTTGTAGCTGTTGTTTTACGAGTTAAAATATTTTATCATAATTATTAGTGTCCTTTATGATTTTGTACATTACCGGTATTATTTTGTGATAACAAAAGGTAACGACAGCCCAGGTAAAACGAGGAATATTATCTTTTAGTTAGAGTGGCTATCTTAGACTTAATTGCGTAAAAAGACAGTTCATTCTAACATTTTGGTCACGTTAAGTTTTCTAGCACGGATCAGATCTATAGTTTGAAGAACAGAATTTAGTAACAGCAACAGTAGATCTTCTTTTATGTCGCGCATTCACAGTTTCCTGTCTGTTGTAGCTGTAAGCAACCTTAAACTCATTACCCTATCTCTTTTGTCCTGAATAATTTCACCCCAATCAATGCGGAAATTCTACTAGTACGCAGGGGGTTACACGGAATGAAATGAAAAATAAGACTGTGAATGGGGAGGATTGAGGAAAGGAAAAAAAATGAACGAGATTTAAGAAGACAGAAGATGGCGATTGACATTGCATTTAAATTTTGAAGATTGTATTTATCAGGGAAACCAGTAAGCGGAAGTGAGTCCCACAGGTTGGAAGTGCGGTAAAAGAAACCGTTGGAATATTAGTGGCGGTTGCCTTTAGCTATATCAGCAGTAAAATGGCGGTAAATAGATGCCAATCTGATAAAACGCTTAAATTCATCTAATTCGGACAACAAGGGAAACAAGCTGGTCAATTGAAGGATAAAAACTTTTTAAACCACGTGCTTTAGTTAGCGGTGTTTTTTTTTTTACTGCGGTCGATATCCGAGACACGAAAAAAAAACAAAAAACAAGGGAGTGCGACTAGCACGTAAAGGTTACAGAGAGGAAGAGCAAAAGTAAAGATACGTATTTGAGGCAATGATGGATACAGAGAAGGACGGGGAACAAGATCAAGGTATCAGATGTCGATTGATATTACACTTGAATATTTGAAGATTATAGTCATCGGGGAAACAAGCAAGGAGACGAGAAATCCACAGACGGAATGTGCGAGAGAAGAAGCTGGTGGAGTAGAAGAGACGGTTACATTTAACAGTGAAAGGGTCAGGCCGAGATGCCAGCCTAGTAGCTCGCTTAAATTCATGCAGTCTGGGAACCAGCGAAAGTAGCTCCTGGGAGCTCCTGCCTGAAAATACTTGTAGAATATACAGAGGAAAGCCACGGCACGTCTGTGAGAAAGCCACTGCGTATTTATCATTTCACCCACGGGAAACGAATATGGCACAAGGCCAGTTTTATTGTGGGTTTCTCCGAGCCCGTAGGCTCGGCCAAAAAAATAGCCTTTGAAGCCGATTAGACGGGTTCAGGCCCTGTCTACCTCCCCGGACGAAACCTTGCCCTTCGGCAAAGCCTCGTCCGGGTTCCTCTCTGCTAACGCAGAGAGTTCGACAGGAGGCGTGTGCCACAAAGACCGTGAGAAAGCCACTGCAGACTAGATGCCAGATCAGGACCTATCACGTTGCATATTCGTCTCTGGATTTTTACGAGGAGCTCGAGACGTACAGCAGGGGCACCAGACCATCTATGACAGCAATATTCCACGTAAGAACGGATGGTTGATTTATAGATTTGAAGGATGGACTCAGGCGAGAAAAACTTTCTGGCACGACATAGAGAACCAACTTTCCTTGCGGTAGATGAAGCTATTGATTCAATGTATTTATTCCACCTCATGTCAGCGGACAGCGTGAGACCAAGATTTTCAAGGCAGGCAGGATGATAATAATAAAAAAAAAACAACCTAATATATCTATTCTTCTTCTTCTTTGGTCTTACGTGATGGCTAAGTATCAAGAAAATCATCGGAGGTAGTGTTTACCTCATCAATTTTACTGCCCAAAATATCAGGAGTCCCATCTAATAGCTATTTTCTTTTTGTATACGATACCAAAACCATCCGATAAAATACACCAAAGAGAACTGTTGAGTAAGCTTGATATATTTGGAAAGAACATTAGAAGAACTAAAAAATTACATCAAAAGCAAACACATGCATACTGATAGAAAAGGAATTCAGTACATATACAAACAATAGCAACGGGTGTAAGACAAGGATGTGTCTTCTCACCAGATTTAGTCAACCATGACAGCGGAGTGAATCTTAGAAAATTAGACTTCTTACCAGGATTCATTATTGGCGATCAGAATTTTATTAGATATAGAGGAGAAATATTGTTGAGAGCAGACAGAGAAAAGAAACCCACAGAAATTAGTAAGGGAAAGAAAGGACTAAACATCCATTTTAAGAAGTCAGTATCTATGGTTGTCAGTAAGAAAGAACTGCCCAGAAACAATTGGAGAGGTTACAATCAAGTAGGTACAAAATTGGAAATATCCAGGAAGTGTTTTAACATAGGACGGAAAAGGTGACACCATAACCCGAACAGGCAGGGGATAGCGAAAGAAGCATTACAAAAGCTAAGAAATGTATTAAGAAACAGGAAAATATTGTTAGAAACAAAGGAAACAGTACCCGTCCTCCTTATATGGCAGTGAATGCTGGACAATCTCATCATAGATATAGAAGAGATTTAAAGCAACAGACATGTGGGTCTACAGAAGGATGTTGAGAATACCACGAACTCACTATGCGAGTAATGACGCAGTTTTAGGGAAAATGAAAACAAAAAGAGAAATTTCTAGGGTACATAATGAAGAAGCAAAATTTATAGAAGTTGATAAAATCACAGTACATATTGCAAGTGCAGATGAAAACAGAGGAATAACACAGAATAACCTACGCTGTGTAGATGGTAGGCTGAATATTGGTTAAGAGAGCGAGATGTTAAAATTTACTAAGCGCTATAAAGATAGGAAATTGTGGAGAGCCATGATCGACCATGTCCTAAAGGAACATGTCACATAGGAGAAGAATTAATGTGCAATTATGTGCGTGCGCGTTTGTTAAACTTAGCTGGGTCTGGCACAAGCAAAATATATAGGGTATTAAAGATCGAACTCACGTCTGAAGATTTGTAAAACCAGCTTGCTAAACTGTAATCCACGTTAAGATTGTTAGGGACCAACGAGTGTAATTTGAATTATTTTGTCTCCCCCACCCACCCCTGGAGCAATTCTATAAAAAAAAAATAAATAAAACAGGAATTATCAACGTTGCTTTTTCAAACAACGCATGAAGTTAGTAAGAAGAATTCACTTTCCTCTAAACAAAGAATTTTGTTCAGAACATGAAATAATAGCCGAAGTTGAGGTGAACTCCCTTCTTTCAAGTAGGGATATTTTTTTTTAATGGATATTGATATAATCTGCTCCGAAGGTAAGTTTTCTTAAAACTATAATTCAATTTAAATGCATTAAAAACATTCCGTACCATGCCCTTTACATAAAACCGAGGAATGTATCTCGGAGCAAAGAAAGCAGAACTAAAACGAAAAGAAAGAAATGCAAGATAATTCTAATGCTTTTGCTGCAGGAACCGTGATATTTGAAGTTATAACTATGCAGTAAGCGACCTATACACCATTCATAGGACACAGACATTTACCGGTGTCTGATATTTCGCAAACTAGTCTTTTACAACAATGCTAATGTGTTCAATCCTAATTGGATGTCATTCCTTTGTGTCACACATAGCATAATTTAAAAATATGTCTGTCACCTGCCGTAACACGTTCTCACAATTACCATAGCCTTGTAGCAGATAAAAATTTACAAAATCACTTTTTTACATAGTTTTAAAGCGCCTCCGAAACCTTGTTGGAGAAGAATTATTTTCCATTTTCCACACTCAATCTCTCTCTCTCAGAGGTGGCAAGTGGCGAGCCTCCTGCTGTTCTATCGCTACTGCCATGGAAAGTGCTCGGATGAACTGCATTCATTGGTTCCACTAGGTCTAACCTTACAGCTAGGATTCGTCATGCCACTTACATAGTAGCAAAGCAACCATATTCCGTATTCCATCGGCGAGAAGTTCCACTCAAACGGCTTCTTCCCACGAACAACTGCTCTGTGGAACAGGTTCTTAAGAGAATGTTTCCCCGATCAATACAATATTAACCTGTTCAAGTCTAGATTTAACCGTTACCTACCCTTCCTATCCATATAAACTATCCTTTACCGTAACCTTCTACTTTCAGTAATAGTACCAGAATTCATACATTGGCTTCCATCTTCAAAGTTAATTCAGGAACCATCAAGAGAACGGTGAATCAGTTAAAAAAAGAGGGAACGGCAGAGAGGAAAACTGGGTCAGGAGGTCACAACAGCAACAGGGATCATCATTTCAACTTAGAGCTAAATACATTCTTATTGTTCAAAGTAGAGTCATATAGTTTTATATAAACCTCGGAGAATTCCATTAAGATATTCCATTTCTAAGATACAACTGTTGAAAGCTTAATCTAAAAATTGTACAATTTTGCTGCTACATGATTTGGACAATTTTGCTGTTACACCCGGCAAACCAGCCATCGTTAAAGATTCTGGGTAAATGGTCGATTCCTTGTGCAGCTCCAGTAAGGACCTGCTCTACAAGAACCAGATTAGACCAAAAATGGAGTGATGCTGTCATATCTGGACTGGAGTATCCAAGTCCTCACATTCTGGTCTTGATAAGGGTTCAAATTAATTTACGCTGGCATCTGGGTGAAGAATTATTTCCCATCCTTCAGACCTTTTGCGACAGATGAAACGTCACAAGCCTCTCGATACTCGATCGCTGTTTGCATCTGAAGAACTACAATCCTTAGATCCACCAGATCTTCCATTACACTTTCAAATCTAAGACCTGCCATACTACGTACATTTGGACTAATCATTATCATTCCCTATGTATTCCATTAGTCATAAAGAATTTCCATTCGGATAACGTCTAACCAAACGCCGCTGGCTTGTAAAAGAGACTCTAGAGAGGATGCTTTCGCGATTACTATAATCTTCACCTCTTCAATTCTATGTGAAACTGTTATCTATCCGACATATCCTCATAAACTGCACTTAAAACTTTTTCCTCTTTGACTTATGAAACAGCCTTATTCAGTAACACATTATATTGAGTTGCTCTCGGGAAGATATTGGGTAAAAACTTAGTTAAAAGAAAGAATTAGGAGAGCTACATGACAGGCATAATTATAAGATAGCTAATATTGTGTTGATTGAAAACTCATTATGAAAACTGAAGAAAAAACAGACAAAGAATTAAATATAAGCAAAATTAGAAGTTTTACTTATCCATATGTTTGATTGTCTGTAAACGAAACAGCACTGAGAGTAAACTTTGCATTGAAGACATTACAATCAAGCAGGTTCAGACATTCTACTGTTAGAATATTGCATTAATAGACGACGGAGATTGTGACACAAATTGGAAGACGCATTGGAATAGCGGAAGTCTTCTTCCATAAAGTAAACATAATATTGATAGATAGGAAAATATTAGGTTGGTGCAAAAATAATGACGCAATAATGTCGTTTTTGACGTATTTTTTAAGGTCAAAAAACGACATTATTACGTCATTATTTTTGCACCAACCTAATAAATGTCTCAAGAAACAGCGACAAATATTGCTGAATTCCTCTGTAATATTTAACAGTCTATAAAGTACCTTTGGCCGAGTGATTAAAGCTTTCAGAAGATGAGGCCGGTGTTCGGATCTCCTCATAGTCGGGTTGTCAGGAAAATGCTATCAATTTAGGAAAGCGTGTAGCATCGTTGGAAAATTCCCTAAAACCATACCAAGGGATGATTCAAACCTTGTGAATAAAATTGGCGAGACGGAACTGTTTGTATGGTGTTGATGGTTATGATGGCGCGAAGTCACAATTTATTAATAAATACCTATAATAAGTTAAGGAATTTTTTTTCGATCTGAATTAACTTTATCTTTTAAATCTAAAACTAGGTGTTTACTAAAAAATCAAAATTTGAGAACAAATTTTTAGCCCGAATTCGCAGAAAGCGAATCTGGCGTTCGTGGCACATGATTCTAACCGTTGTTGGTCGTTCATGAAATTTATGAATGAATTTAATTTTTCGATTTAATTCCACATATAATTGTTCCTGTTTGTTTTGGATACTTTGAATAGGTGACAATTCGCATGGGATGGACTGAGTGTTTTATGTTTTCTCTGCTGCTCATTGTTTTCGTTGTACCCCAGTTGTTGGTGCCTCCATTTAAACAGGGAGTAGATTATTCTCCAGTTCTTTTATTTATTTTATAAAGAATTTTATTTCAGATTTTCTGCCCTGGAGAAAAAAAAGGCAGAAATTTTTTAAAGGAAATTTTTGATTTTTCCGATCAAGAATATTTTATTTTCCTGTTTATGAGGATCGATGTTGATCCCAGCTGGCATTTTAGATAGCTTGCGCAGGTTGACAAGTTGGTACAATCCCCTACTCTTACAGTCCCAGTGCACACAAGTGGGAGAGAAAACCAGAGAGGCCATTGTGGATGCCAGAAATACCAGATATTACTGAGCTTTCAACTACGTTCGGGACTTCCGTCTTGGTTGATTTGAATTCAGAGTTTTATTTCACACATTTGCCCCCCCCCCCCGGATATAGAACCCAGTCTGTCTAAGTTGGAAGGGATGGATTCCCAACGCTATTAGCACCTAAGTGAATGTAATGAATTCTACTGAAATTCGACTCGGCTCCTATATTGATAATACTGACGTATCTGTTTGCTCGCTTTCAAAGCTGGAATTCCATTACCAAAAGAGAGAGAGAGAGAGAGAGAGAGAGATAGATAGATAGATAGATAGAGAGAGAGAGAAAGAGAGAGAGAGAGAAACTTGGAGTTCACTACTATAAAAACAGACATATTATCAAAGGAGAAGAGAAAAAGAAAAAAAAAACAGAGAAAAATAAACTACCACTATATTAAATGACAATAGAGAAAAAAAAGAAAATGACAAGCTGACCAGTTTTCGTTCCTCTCTCACGATAGCAGTGCCCAGCGACTAAAAGAAAGGGGGAAAAATAAGCATAAGAAATAGACACATATCAACTATATATTGACACGCTGATACGTACAAGTAGGATCTATTTACGGTGTGTCGGTGTGTTACTGTCATTATGAGAGGCATGGATGCCAAGGTAGGAGAAAAACGAGAAGACGAAACTTCGAAATAAAACTACAGGACCTCATGCGCAGGGTGGTAGAAGAAAGCGATATAAAAGACTAACTATTAGTAACTTACTAAGAAAGTGTGGCCATCAGCAAGAGAAAAATCCCAAGATGCGAGTTATGAATTGGTGACATATAAACATCAAACAGGTGCAGATGTTCAAATGGATGGGAAGCGTTTTAAACAAAGGTCGGAAAAATGCGACACCGAGATCCGAACTCGCATTCGACTAGCGGAAGAGGCATTTCAAATGCTAAAAAAAGGTGCCTGGAAACAGAATAAATTTATGAGAAGCAAAGAAAAGAGTGCTGGATTAATACGTGGCATCCATCGTCAAGGATGAGGAAAAAACTAGAAGCAGGAGAAGGATACTGAAACTTCTATGGACGCAGCTAGTAAGCAAGGAGAATGTCTTAAAGAAAACGGTAACAGAAAGAACACTTACACTCAAACTCGGGGAAACGACAGCGGAAATTCCCTGGGCACATAATAAAGAAGGAGAGCATGTAAAACATAAGCCTCAAAGTGCACACTGAAGGCAAGAGAGATAGGGTACATTAGCGCGCCGGTTACCTGATGGGTTTGTGTCAATGCATAGAGGAACGGAGGACGTTGTCATGGAAAATTGAAAAAAAAAACGCGAATAGTCATATGAGATAGAAAGTAGTGAAGAGCCATGATCGTATTCATTATCCTCATTTTTCCCTCTTCAGTTTTGTCTTTGTGCACAGCCATTTTAATTCCTGGAGCGAACTCTAATGAGCGACGAACGAAAACTTATCAACTGATTGTATATTTTTTCTTTTTCTCTTTTCCTAATATGTCTGTTTTATAGAATTGATTAAATTTTGTACCTCGAATAAGAGCTTTCAACTCGAAGTTGTTGAAATAAGAAGAATTTAAAGTCAATTAAAACAAAAGCAAAAAAAACAAAAAAACAAATGTCGGCGCACCTGACACATAACACGTATATTTTTAATGCACCCGAGCTACAAGCAAAATTTTGGGAAGAAAATCCAGCAAATACAAAATAAATAAAGAAATAAAATATAAAAAGAAAATGAAATAGATTTAGCAAATAAATAAAATTGCATCTGATCGAATCTGTTAAAAAAAAAAAAAACCGTGATTTTAATTTTTCTATTTATTAAAATGAAAAAAAAAACATTTACTTGAATTAAAAAATAAATTATAGAAGGTATCTTTAAAATAATAATTTATTCAGCTTTTTTAGTTGTGATTTGGTGAAAACAAACAGGAATCATCAATTTGAATTCTTCAGTGATCTTTGATTTTGTTTTTACATCGATGCAGTCAATACAGAGATTTCACTTGTCAATTTGCTGATGAACTGCAACAAAGTGACAAAGACAAAAGAAAAAGAAAGAAAACTACAATACTAAAAGAATAAAAAACAATCGCACATTGATTACTTGGATAAATATAACACTAAAGAATCGACTAATTTTCATTAAAATTTGTATATTCGAAGATGATAAAGGCTAGCGTCGTCAAATAATCGTGTGTCACTCGCAATAAGTTTGCTGTAGCAAAGAGAACGAACAGATTAATTGTTTAGTTTTTAGAGAAATAACAGAAGAAAGAGAATTATATATTGCTTGTTAGCAAAAGTGCTCCTAACTCAGTGAATGGCATGACCGCTTTAGCCAAAATGTATACTGGTCAAATTAAGGATATAAGATGAAATAAAATAGAACAGTTTTTCAACTCTTTCGGATTGTAATAATTAGATTATTTATTTGACACTATGTTGGGATATCATATGGAAGAGGAAGATGTGTTATTTTTCTTGATATAAAGTCTTTCTGTTGCATAGCCAGCAGATTAGGTTTTCGAAGTCGGCAACTTCTAGCAGTACCCACTTTACCAAAGGATCACAAAGGAACAATAAAAAAAATGAGTAGTCAAGCAAAAATAAACCAGACATTAATGATTTCGGGTTGATGATCTATATTAACAGTCATAGCTGTGAAGAATTAAATTCTCGTCCACCCAGGGCTCAGGATTGACCATCCTACGGATTGTTTCGATTCCGCCCGTTTGTATTTCCAGATACACATTGTGATGTTGAGATGAGTAGACATTTGGTAGGTGGACGAATAGAAGGCAAGAGATTTGCTGTTATCCCAACATGGCACAACTTGTTCCATATGCCATAAACGTCCCCTCCAAGACTGAGCGAGTGAAGCCTTGTATAAAATAGCTAAATATATTGAAAACAGGGTTAGAGTTTTCCTTTCTGGCAGTGGCGCTTTTTTTGATCTGTCGATTCCTTGTAATCATGCAGCCCCCCCCCTCACTCAGTTTTTGGTAAACATTGATGACAAGGTGGGTCAGTGGAAAACTGAGCGTGAGTCCCGTCACATGTTTACATTTGTAGCTCTTATTTTCTTAAAAGCAAGAGGAGGAAGTCTTATGGACAATGAAAACAAAAAGGATACTTATACCCAGGTTCAGAAAGAGACAGCTAAAATTTCGGGGCCACATAATCAGTAAGGAAGGATAGGATGATTTGCATCTCATGGGATATATCGAAAACAAACGGCATAGGCAGAAGCAGCTGGTCATTTATTGAATGAGTATGGATGGCAGAATAGAAGTTGGAATGGCGGTTAAATGGTAATGTCTATTTCCTTATAAGGGAACATTTGGCATTCGTTAACCAAGCAACCATTAGAGTTTTCGGTTGAAAAATTTATTTGCAGAAAAATAGGTTTCTCACATCCAGTAGCTGTTATCGTTCTTTCCAGTACTGTTGGTGGTTTCTCGGGCCACTTACATGTTCTATCCATTGTAGTTGCCTCTACTTATGGTAGTCTGTACGTGATGTGGCTTCTGTTATTTGGTACACTTCTTTGCTTGTGCTTTTTCTAACGCCAATCCACAATTTTCAAAGAAGGATGGTCTTTGCAAAGACGCTCAGGTTTCACTCGCTGAAAACCATATTTAACCATAAAAGACTAACATTACTAAATGTTGCAAGATTGTGAAGACACATGATACTGAAAGAAAATCGCACGTCCTGAAGGAATTTTTTAAACCATTTCACCTAAGGAAAGCCAGGAATGCCACCAGTACGCAGGAGGTTGTATAGAGTGAAAAAACCGGGTATACGGGGTACCGAGGAAAGGATAAAAGCTGAACGAGATTGAAAACTTTTTTCAGAATTGTTAGGGGAAATGGCTTTACAGAAGAACTAATAACAAAGGCACGCCACTGGCACTATGTTAAAGTTATTCTAAGCCAAAAAAAATCTTTGCGTACTATCTACAGCATCAAGAAAATGATAGATGTCGACAAAACCTGCGAGGTTAAAATGAAACGGGGTCAGAACACAAGTAACACCCTCAAGACAACATTTGAAAACGACCCAACAACATTAATGCGTAAGACAGGGAGTAAGTAAAAAGTGCCACAAAGGGCGTTAGAATGGTTGTGTATTACGACCTGGACATTTAAATCATGCACTAAGACATCAAGGTATATCCTCATGGAATTCACGAAGCTCAGGAACCATGAAAAGTTGCAAGAACCTCTTTTTGGACTCTAAGTGGTATCAGATGAATGGATTCTAAGCTAAGAAATCTTCTTTCTAAGCATAGCCTGCATCATCCATAGTCTGATGCAGACTGTTTAGAAGGTGAAGAGTTCTTCAGTTAGAATTTTTATAAAAGACAACTATTCGCTGACTAGATTACATGGAAACAACAAGAGAATGGATGATAAAATTAATCAAGCAACACGAAAAGAGAAAAGTAAAAAAATATTCAATTATGAAAGAAGGTTGTAAATACAAACGAAGTTAATATTTCGTAGATTTTGTAGAAAACCAGAACGGAACTCTAGAGCCAAATGTTCCAGCAAAATTATGAAAACGAACGCCAAGGATGAAGCTCCTAAATAGATGAAACAACGTTGGCAAGACAAACCTTTGCGTGGGCAATATCTAGAACGTTCTAATAAAGCCGATGTTAATAAAGTTAAGACTCATCGATGGTTTTAAGTATCTGGATTAAAGGCTGAAACGAAAGGCTTTATTATTGCAGCGCAAGACCAGAATCTTTTCATTAAAAATTTTCAGGCAAATGTCATACATAATAGTATGGATTCAAAATTGATATAATGGAATAACCAGTCACCCCTATGAATGATTACACAATAGGTAACAAGTACCTATAAAGTCAACCGTCTACGAGAGAGTAAGGACGAGTCAGTGACACGACGCAAGCACGTCTGACCTTCCAATTAGTGGCACTCCCTACTAGATTGACCTACCGTATTTCATGTTGTACCTGTTGTGTGCAACAAACCTTTCTTCTTGTATCCAACTGGTGTTATGTGTTTATTCCCTTAGCACGGAATATAATAAAAATGCAGGTTCTGTGACAAATATCAGGAAATCATAAACCATCTATTCTCGGGATGTTCTGTAATTGCACCAAATGAATATAAAAATCGTCACGATAGAGCGGGACAATACTTACACTGAACAATGTGCAAATACTTTGGAAAATGTTAATAAACAGCATTGGTTATAGTAACAGAAGACATAACCATTCTATGAGATTACACCATCTTTTCAGACAGGAAACTTGAAGTAACTAGGCCGGATATAATTGTCAAAAACTGAAAGGAAAAATTGACTACTATTTGATA